GACGAAAACATTATTCTACTGGGCGATTTTAATTGTGATGTTTTAAAAGATAACGACAGAAGTTCAAACATATTGAAAAAATTACATTTTCATTTTGATCTTGTTGATTTGTGGAAAACTTTAAAAACAGATAAAAATGGGTTTACTTGGTGCGACGGAAATAACACCCCAAAAAGCAGAATAGACTATGTTTTTTTAACAAAAAATTTTTGTTACAAGCCAGAAAATATATACTTACGTAGGCCACCATCGGTCTCAAATACAAGGATGAGTGACCATATTGCTATTATATTTAAATGTGAAATTTCATCGAATAGTAGGGGAAAAGGATATTGGAAATTAAATACATCTGTGCTTCTTGAGTCAAGATATTGCGAATTGATAAATTCGTTTTAACGAACTTACCAGATGATATTAAATTAAAAGAAAATCCGAAAACTAAGTGTGAACTGATTAAATTAAAAAAAATCTCAGCATAAAATATTGCAAGGAAAAAAGTAGAAACACAAAACAAAAAATACTAAAAATAGAAAACGAACTTGAACAAATAGAGAATCAAAATCATTTAAATATCAACATGTTACATAAAAAAGAATTAGAAAATGAACTTGATAAACTATATGAAAACAAGGCAAAAGGAGCACAAATAAGATCAAGAGCTAAATGGATAGACGAAGGAGAAAAAAATTCATCTTACTTCTTAAGACTTGAAAATAAACATCAGTCTAAAAACGTTATTAATAAAATTACAAATGCAGGTACTACGTTTGTAAAAACAAATGAAATCTTAAACCAGTTGTGTAATTTTTATGAAAATTTATATTCTTCAACCGATGTACCAAGTGAAAGTATAAAAACGTATCTAGAACAAACAAATATATTATCTATTTTGTCAGAGGAAGATAAAAAAGACTGTGAAAAATTTCCCACTCTGCAAGAATTTTCAGAGGCAGTGCTTGGAATGAAAAATAATAAATCACCAGGTCTTGATGGGCTGCCTGTCGAGTTTTATAAAATATTTTGGAAAAACATTCGTTATTTTCTGTTCGAAGCTATATCTGAAATATATATCGACGAAGAGCTGACCTCAACACAGAAATGTTCAGTGCTCTCTCTTATACACAAGAAAGGTGAATTAGATAAGTTAGAAAATTACCGACCAATTAGCCTCACTAATTGTGATTACAAAATAATTGCATTTGTGTTTGCAAAAAGACTACAAAAAGTGATTGACAGATTAATAAGTAGAAATCAATCAGGTTATATAAAAGGACGATATATTGGTAACAATGCTAGACTTATTCTGGATATATTTGAATATTGTGAAAACACAGATACGGATGGTGTTCTTTTATTCGCTGATTTTCAAAAAGCATTTGATACGATCGAATGAAATTTTTTATTCAAAACATTAGAAAAATTCAATTTTGGTGAAAATTGTATTAAATGGATAAAAATTTTATATACAAATACACAATTCACTATAAAAAAACAATCTCAATGGCTGGATCTCGAGAAAATGCAAAATGAAAAGAGGAATACGACAAGGTTGTCCGGTTTCGGCATTATTATTTTTATTTGCAATGGAAGTTTTAAATGAAAACATAAACAGTTCAAGTTTAGTTAAAGGTTTTAAGCATGAAGAGATGGAAAACTAAATAAAATGCATACAGCATGCAGATGATAGTACCTTTCCCTTAAAGGATATAAACTCTTTGAAAAACGCCATAAAAATAACACAAAAATTTGGAAATGTATCTGAAACAAAACTTAACTTATCAAAAACGGAATGTATCTTACTAGGGGAGCTAAAAAACATGTTTAAAGATAACGCATATGTAGGAAATGTTAAGATCAATATAAATACTGTAAAATGTCTTGGAATTTATATTGGACACAACAAAATAGAGTGCAATGAAAAAACTGGCTATGTAAACTGAGAGTCTGAAAAATGTTTAGACTATTGGAGAAATAGGAAATTAACTATTTTCGGAAAGAGTCAGATTATTAACTCCCTAATTATTTCTAAACTTTTATATGTGGCAACTATACTTGAAAATCCAAATCAAGAAATTATAAAGAAGGTAAATAAAATAATTTTCTCTTTTCTTTGGGGGAAAAAAGAAAGAATTAAGCGCAAAACTCTTATTAGGAAAATATCAGAAGGGGGGATAGGTATTACCGACTTTGAAATCAAAATCAAAGCTTTAAAAGCATCATGGGTTACTAAACTTGTTCAACAAAACAAGGATTCAAACAAATTGTTAAGTGCTTGTTTAGGAAGATGTAATATAGATATCCCTTACTTGTTGAATACAAATATAACTAAAATACAAGACTTCAAAATCAAATGTCTCCAACTGTTTTATAAAGAAGTAATATGTGCATTCAATGAATGTAAACAAAGTAATCAGGAAAAATTACAACTACAGAATATATGGTTTAACAAAAACATAACTTACAAAGAAAAACCTCTCTATCTTTCAAACTGGATCAAAAGTGGTTTTAAATATGTTAATGATCTCTTTAATGAACAAGGGTTTAAAACAATAAATGAAATTAAAGAAAAATTAATATGTTCCCAAAACTACCTTTGTGAGTATATGATTGTGAAAAGTGCATTTAAAAAACATATTCCAAAAATAAACCTACAATATAAAGCAAATAAATGTAATCCACAGCTTTGCTTCAACTTTCAAGGACATTTTGAACAAGTTGAGGGCAAAAAATCTAAATTCTTCTACAATATTCTGTTAAACAAAGCATCAAAAAAGCCTTTAATGGAAAGATTTTGGGCTGAGAAATTTAACATTGACGATTTCCACTTATGGGAGAACATTTACATGGAAAAAGAATATTTGATAAGTGTCTGAAATATTTGATAAGAAATAAGTATGTTAGTAAATGTTAAATGTAATGTTTGAATTGTAATGTAGAAGAGGACATAACTTATTTTTGATTGCCCAATTTGTAATAAGCTTTTATGTGTGTCAGTTATAATTGGTTTTCCAAAAAAAAAATACTTATTTTAAACAATACATTGTGCCTTCAAAATATATAAATATAAAATGAAATGTGTTTTAAATGTAGGATGTGACTAGTGAGGGTTTATTGTGTTTCTTAAAAAATGCATTAAGCACCTTATTTTTATGAATTTTGTTGTGTAGTAAAATTATATATTATATATCCAATTTGGAGTAAAATAGCATTGCTTTTTTTTTTCCTTAACTATATGTACATGAAAATGTATAAAGTACAAGTGTGGAAAGTTTTTTTATATATACAAATAACTGTATTTTTTCAATGGCTATATTGTATTGAAATTTTCAAAAATCAAATTTAATTAATTATTTCTATCTGATCCAGGGAGCCCCTGGCATACTGTAATAATTGAAATAAAATTGAAAAAAAAAAAAAAAAAAAAAGATCATTTTATTAACGAACGTCTTTATACGTTTCATTGATGGAACAGCCACTGATTAAGAAATCTGCCGACATGCCTACTGTAGTTTATGCAATATATAAATATATATAATGAAATGAAATGTAGACTTTTAAATGAGAGTGTGACTAATCAGAGTTTATTGTATTTCTTAAAAAATGCACTTATTCAGTTCTATTTCATAACAAAATTATCAAAAACTATTGTATGTGATTTCGATATTATCAGAGAATTGTCAGAAAAATTATGAAATTATATACATTTTGTATTATATATTGATCCAAAGGTGACCTGGCCTTTGGGGTATACTTTCGTAGGGGGTAATGTGGACTCTTGTGCGTTGGTGTCCCCCTACGATTATTTCTTTTGAAATTGAATCTGTTTTTTTTCTTAATGCTATATGTACATGAAAATGTTATATAATGTACGTGGAATATTATATTATCTATCTATATAACTGTATTTTTTCCAATGGTTCTATGGTCCAATGGTTTTTATTTTATCGAAGTGTGAATATCTAAATATATCTATATCAATTATTAAATGTACTGATTCTCATGATTCTTTCTATCTGATCCAGGGAGCCCCTGGCACCCCAGGTGAAGATATATTTAGGAGGGCCTCCGTGGAGGTATTACCTCCACTTTTTTGTTATTATATTATTGAAATAAAATTAAAAGAAAAAAAAATTTATCCCAATCTAATTAATAACATTTTTTTTATTCTTCAAGCAAGGGGAGAATATAGCGGACATCAGGACATCTGCCAGATCTAGCCATGTGGACAATATTAGAACTATATATGGACCGTCCATTGCCAAGTGAGATTAATGTATTTTTTAAGATAAACACTTTGTATATATGTAACATTTATAGGGTTTTTTTTAGCCTTTGTTTGACATTTCCGATAATTTCAAGTTAATTTATGGACATTCGGATAATGAGCGAGTGACAGATAAATTTGACTATCTTTCATACGTAACACCTTTTAGACAGAGTTATGTGATGCGTATTTATTAACTGTCTGTCGAAGTCCAAGATTGAAGTCATGCACTTAGCACTTCCAAAAAAAAAATTTTGATGGTCCATTCACAGTCCATAGAGATGTATGTCCTTTAATGAGGCTGCGGGGTCAACAAATTAACCATCTGATATAACTTCATATTTAAGACATGATTTCTAAAGCTGTCAACTATCATTTGAGAAAGAAAAATTTCATGCATTTAAGTTTTAAAATTTGATCATTTTTGTATATCTTCATATGGAGCTCTTTTTCTAAAGGAGTTCAACAGAGTCTAAAAATGGCCACAACCCCCTAGCCCCTTTAAAATCAATCAACTAATTGCAGTAAAACTTCACAAAAAACATCCCTTGGGTTCGCAGTTTCAAGTTTGTTCAACAAAGACCTATTACCCTTGGTGAGAGAATAACAAAATGAGGGATGGTCATATTAAACCTCAGTCAAAAAATTGGAATTTAAATGAAAGTTTCCTGAAGGTTCATAGACCATATAAAAAGGGAGATAACCTCAAACTCATATGTCAGGAGAAAAAAGTTGCTCAGGTGTGCACTGTGGCCCTGAGGCCTAGAAAGTGTAATTCCTTTTCCAGGGTTCTCTTATAAAAACTGAAGTAGTTTGTGAAACTAGACTTGATAGGTGGATCATTAGACTTCATGTGTGGATGACTAGACTTAGTGGGTGGATGACTAGACTTAGTGGATTGATCACTAGACTTAGTATGTGGATGACTAGACTTAGTGGGTGGATGACTAGACTTAGTAGGTGGATCATTAGACTTAGTAGATGGATCACTAGACTTAGTGGGAGGATCACTAGACTTAGTGGGTGGATCACTAGACTTAGTGGGTGAATCACTAGACTTACTGGGTGGGTCACTAGATTTAGTAGGTGGGTCACTAGACTTAGTAAATGGATCACTAGACTTTGAAGGTGGATCACTAGACTTAGTGGATGGACCACTAGACTTAGTGGGTGGATCACTAGACTTAGTTGTTGGACCACTAGACTTAATAGGTGGATCACTAGATTTAGTAGGTGGATCACTAGATTTAGTAGGTGGATTACTAGATTTAGTAGGTGGATCACTAGACTTAGTGGGTGGTTCACTAGACTTAGTAGGTGGATCACTAGACTAAGTGGGTGGATCACTAAACTTAGTGGGTGGTTCACTAGACTTAGTAGGTGGATCACTAGACT